CGAGGAGGAGTTGGCGAGCCAGGACGACTTCGTTCGGCAATTTAACGGCCACCATCCGTAGTTTTTTTATTGTATATTATGAATTTTAAAACTTAATTGTATATTATTTAGTTATTATAAAATATTTTGTTATTTCTTTTTTTATTTATAATTTGGTTTTTTAATTTTTAAAAAATATATTATTTATATTTATAATTAATATTTTTTAATAGGGAAAAAAGGTTTCGAAGTAAAATCCTCGTAATATTTTTGAAGTAAAGTCCTCGTAAATTTTATTAGTAAGGTCCTCGTAAAGCATTACTACGAATTAACGAGAAAATGTGTTACTATGACTTTACGAGGAAATGTGTTACTATGACTTTACGAGGAAACGTGTACGAAGACTTTACGAGGAAAATCTTATCCACGCGCTTACGAGGAAAGTTTTCCTTGTAAATTAGCTAGGACTTTACGAGGAAAAAGATTTTACGATGAACGTGTTTCGAGGAAATGTGGTCCTAGTGAAGGACGAGTTTTCTTGTAGTGTTTGGATTCACAAAAAAATGTTGTCTAATAGTGAATCGATCTTGAGGATGGAAATTCATAAGAGACGTACAAAAGACTTTCTTTTGAACTTTCACAAGTCTCATTTCTTTGTTATGAATGCAGAGTCTTGTGAGCTACATCATTCAAAGAAATGTTTTCTGGCCACAGATACAGATTTAGATGAAAACAAGATTAGTTGGAAAAAAAAGAGGTGGCTTTGATCTTACATTGATATCAGTTGTACAAACATTGCTTCTAAGTTCCCTGCGATAAACACAAGGAAATGTCGAAGAAGGTTTGGTTAAAATGACGTATTTCTGGGATTTATTTTTAACGCCTAACATGAGTATTTGATTTTGCAGATGGTGTACATATACTTACGAATATGAACCCCTGAAGAAGATGCACTACTGTGTGAGGTTAAACATTTTTAATCACATAAGTTTATAGAGTTGGCAGCCGAAGAAGAGGTATGCTACACCAGTTTCAATAGGGAAAAAACTGACCACTTTGTTGGTTTACTGGTTCCCACATGTATGGAAAACCAGTAGCGTTAAAACAAAACCACTAAGACGACCTAACTTAATGTTGACCACTAAAATCTCTTTGGAACACAATAGATAAGGTTAATAAGATCTTTTTTTTTTTTTTTTTTTTTTGTCACTGAAGGTTAATAAGATCTAAAGGTCAGCTTTCATTGAGGTTTGATTTTCTGTTGCCTGGATGCATCATGTTTGTTGTTATAAGGACATGATCTTGATAGATATCTTAGCTTGGAAATACTGATCTGTGAAGTCTATTACAGGTGGCTCGACCAATAAAGGTTAGCTTTGTGTAAGTAGGAAGCTCAGTCCACACCAGAAATTTGAAGTTGCTAGAGTCTATGATTGGTTGAAGATTGCATTCCACAAAAGCATAGTTTTAACTAAAAATATTACAGTTCTTTTTGAGAATGATGCATATGATTTGAAAAAGTTTTTTTCTTCATAGTATAGTATATGTTTTCTTTTTGACATCAGCCATTACTAACTATTCATCCTTATAATACTGAGTAATAACTATCTACTCTATTAAAATATAGTCATTTTTTTATCTACTATAAACAAGTCTAAGTGAAACCAATTGATTATTTACTTAATATGATATATTTGATGATTTACATTAATCAATCAAATATATACTAAACATGTCTGATTTAAATTTCATTTTCAGTTATAACAAAATCAGTTGAAAAAAAATCTAACAAAATTTTACAAAAATTCAAATATTTATTTATAAATAACACAATAACTAACTTCGTAAATAATAACATAAGAATAGTCTATATAATATTAAAAAAATAATACTCTATAAATTAAATAAAAATAGATAGATTTGGTAAATTAAATTTTTATTTTTAAGTTTTTCACTTAAATATTATAAAGTACTTAATAGGACGTATTTGATTATTTAAATTAATCAATACAATATATACCAAATATGCTGAAAAGCAATAGATTTAACTTTTATTTTTAGTTATACAAAATCAGTTAAGAAAAAATCTAACAAAATCCTACTAAAAGTTTAATTATTTTTATGTAAAATAACACAATATTTAATTTCTTAATTAATAATATAATAATAATAGATATTATTAATAAGTAAAACTTACTATAAAAAAATTTATATCATATTTTATAAATTTCATGTAATAATCTATCTTCTCTATTAAAAGAGAAGTACTAAATAAATTAAATAATAAATAATAAATTTGGTAAATTAAATTCATATTTTAAATTTATTTCACTTGAATAAACAAACTATTATTCACCGTTAAAAGGATTACAATACATAAACTATGTATATTTTTATACAAAAAATGTTAGCCTGCATTAATTTTTATATCTACAACTATATCTTTTTTTTACTTAATTTAAAACTCAAACAATATTTATCTAAAAATGAGTATATACAAATCATATTAGTATATAATTAATTTTTAGTTCATGTATTATTAAAAAAATAGTATGTCAGAAAATTTTAATAATTAAAAAGATATTAATGAAAAAAAATTTTTAGCTACAAATTTATTTTTTTAATTATAAAATAATATGTTGAGAGAATATATATAAATATAACCAAAATCGAATAAAATAATCCATTAATTTAGTAACAAAAAAATTTAAAGTCATATAATCTTTCAAAATAAAATATATTTAGTAATTTTGAAAATATTCCTGACCAAATATACAATTTTAAAAATAAGTATTCTAAACGCAAAGTGAAAAAATCCAAATAATAAAAGATAAAATTATAGATGATAAAGTGTATTTTATTTTAAATGGAACACGAAAAACAAATACTATTCTAAAAAAGTAGTATAATATTTTAAAATATTAATTTAATAAAACAAAGCAGAGAACTTAATACCATAACATCCAAAATATTTTTGAATTGATAAAATTTACTAAAATAATATCATAGATGCTACTATATATAAAAAATTTCAAAAATAATATGACTAATTTAGTTAAGCAAAATAATATAATATATATTTATAAAATTTTAAATATACTAAAAGGATATATGTTAAATTTATATTCTAAACACAAAATGAAAATATCAATTCGCCTAAATAAATATTATTTTATAATATCTAAATAAAATTTATCAAAAACTTCGAATGCAACTTATACAAATTTATAGAAAACATATTGTAAAACATATTTTCTATTTGATTATTGTAAATTATTAATTTATTTACTTACTGGAAATATATTAGCATGTATAAAAAGCAAAAAAAAAAGTTATATATTAATAATGTTGGATAAAAAGTAAAAGATTAAAAAATATTATCTATTAAGAATTTTGAATGAAAACCTAAATTTTTTTTTACAAAGTTACAGATATAACACAAATTTTAAATATATATTTAAAATGTTGACGTTAATATTAAATATATAATTTAAAAATAAAAAATATACCCACACGAATGTGCGGGTCAAAACTCTAGTGTATGTATTATAAGTGTGTAACAGGTTAGGAGGTGATTATACGACAATGACTCTAAATGATATAAATGGTAGAAAAGAAGTAGAAAAAATGTATAAAAGGTGAAAAACTAAAAATAAAATTAGAAGTAAAATTTCTTTTGTTTTAAATAGAGAAAGTCACGTTCTAATAAATTGTTACTTTTGAAGTAAATAAGCTGAAAATTATTTTTCACTTGATTGGTTAAAAATGAAGTAATTTAGTTGAAAAATATTTGTTCTAATCTATTTACTTCATGCATATTATAGAAAACATTCAATATTCCCTCTGTTAATATGAAATTTTATAGTTTTAACAAAATTTAATAAAAGATAAATTTGTAATAGGTTATACTAAAATATATTTATATTCAGATAAAATTATAAAGTGATTCAAGTTTAAACATATACTAGATTTTGACCCGCGAAAATTTTTTAAAATTAAAAATTTGTATAATTGGGTTTGTCTTAATTTAAAAACTGTTATGGTATAAAATCAGTTTACCAAAATTTGTGGTCATGATGTTTTTCATTAATTTTTAGTTACAGTTTTTATTTTTAGATCTTGTTTTAGATTTTGGTTTTTGTTTTTAGTTTTTAAGTTTCTTATCATCTTTTCAGTTTTAAATTAGATGTTCGATTATTTTGGATTTGTTTATTGGTAATATCAGTTCAAATTAACTCAGCTGGTCTAAAAATTAAAAAGCCAAACCAAAAGCTGAAAATCAAAAATATATCTGCAGTAGTTTATTTTGTAAATAAAGAAAAGCAAAAAATTATAACCTGCATTTTCAGCTTTTGGTTTTGGATTTTAGTTTTTAGATTTGGTTTTTGGTTTTGCTTTACATTTTTTTAAATCAGTAAATTATTTTTAAAAAAGATAAAAAATAAATTATTTAAAAGTTACCATTGAAATTTATCAAAACAAAGTGATTATTATTTAAAATAAAAATACACTAACATGTTTTAAAGTATATGATTTAAATAAATGATTAATAATAGACAATTTTGTTTTATTAAAAATATTAAATACCTTTTGAGCCTAAAAATAATAATTGATTTTTTTGATTCATTAATGTGGAAATTTTATTCAATGTTTTTTGGAGTTTTTCCTTAATACTAAGCCCAAAAACAAAATCATATAATTTGTTCTAAAAATAAAAGTAAGCCCAAGAGAATATTTCATAATTAACTACTGGTTTAATTTAAGTAATACGGTTTAATTAACTATATAGTTTGTATTATTTATAACACTCTAGAAATAGTAGATATAAAACAACTCGGGCGTAGCCCGGGAATTACCTCGGGAATTACCTCTAATAATAATAAAAAAAAAAAACTCTTTTCGTTCATAGCATCAAATTATCATTCAATTTCGTAGAACTTTTTTTTGGGGGGGGGGGGGTTTAATTAAAATCTGGATAAATAAAAAATCGAATTTACAAGATGTATATATGTTACGATTTATTAGTTCCTATTTCTAGAGAAAACAAGTATGAGAAAGTCGAAACATTCAAAGCAAAAAAAGCTTCTTCTTTGTCGTCTTCTTGTATCTTGAATAGATCTCATGGCTTCGTCACTTCTGTAAGCTCTCATCACCGAGTCTTGTTCCACGTCTTCTTCTCCAAACATCAAATCTGCCACGTCATCTTCGCCGTAGAAAACATCTCCCTGTCCTGCGTTAACTATACTTTTCCGTTGGCATGGCAACGATGCTGAAACTCGTGATCCCGCCGTTGTAGAAGGTAAGTCAACGTTGGGAATCGGAGCAGCATCTCTTCCGGTCATCTTTGGAAATTGTAATGTTTTCGATACTCTGTATCTAGAAAACTCAACGCTAAAGACTTTGCGTACCTAAATTTCGTACTTATCGTGACTTATACGAAAAGATTTGGTATTTTCATTATTTTAATATGACTAGGAAATCTCAAAGAAATAAGGATGGAAAAACGTTTAAAGATTCTTTAAAGATTTTTTAAATTCGTTTATATTTATCCAAAAGATTGTTTTATCAAAATCAGGAGATTAAACGCTACGTAAGTAGAATATTTCAAATCAAATACTAATAAAAAAAATTCTTATAATTTGTTTTACAAAAAAAAAACAGATAAGGATCTCTCTACTTATATATATATAAAAGGAATTTCTATTATTTATGAGTTTAAACGAACCGAGTGGGTCTATATATCATCCTTATTAAATCATGCATCATGCAGATCCATACAAAAGAAGACCTCGAAACTTTTTGCACTACAATGGCCGCATCACGAGGTCAGAGCTGTGTTGTGATACCGGGACAGAGTCATGGTGGTGTCCGTTGTTAGAGGAGGAACTCATCTCTTGAACTGGTGGCGGGTTAACCACAGTCATTGGCATCACAAAGTTATCCGAAAGACGGTTCTTCATCTCACGGTGTGCTTGGCAAACCGCACAGAAATGGAGGAAACAATGCACCATACATGGGTCGCAAGGAGAGTCCTGTTTAATCAACACAAAACAACACGTTTTCAAAGAGCATCAACCACTTGTGGTCCAGATAAACTTGTGACTGTACCTGGAGATGATACTTGCGCTGTAGAGTTTGCCTGACATTTCCAGTGTAAATCCCACACATCCACCAAACAAAAAACAAGCCTTCCCATAAAAGAAACGTGGTATGTGGATCTATACCGGGAATACAAACAAGCATGGATGCGGCCATAAGACCGCCTTCTACTACAATCGAATGGCAAACACATGCTCTCTTCCATGAGGTTTCCTCCTCACTCAGAGTTTCATAGACACGTCCGAACAGAACACTTGGGCAAAATAATCCTTGCCAAACTGTATGAAGACATGGAAGTAATTAAGGAGCTCTTAGTTCTAGTGAGATCACCCACTTGATGATGGTTTTCTAAAGATGAAAAGAAGCAAATGAAAACTTACAGCTATCCATGTCCTCAGTGCACCCGAATATTCCGGTAGTCCATGGCTCATCTGCAGGAGCTTCAAAATTTTCAGGCAAAGTTTGGCCACATTCGTTGCATTTGTAAACACCTAGCTGCAGATTCAAACCCGACCGGATTAATTTTAAATTATAATTTGATGTAAGAGTCAATCACGTAAACACTAACTAATAGGTTACTTGATGAACACGAATCACGGATCTGTTGCGGAAACCATTTAATACATTCTTGATCGTAAACAATTGAATACAAGAAAGAAATAACCGTAATCAGGTGATTGTCTTCTTGAGATGCGTAGATGTAAAATCAGATCAGTAGGGAAAAAGAGAGACAGACATACTTCAGGAACCTGAATTGGTTGATTGAGTTCGCCGGGGTTAACCTCATCGACCGGAGCTTGTTCCTTTGTCAACTTCACGTACCTCGACGGTGCTCCTCCTCCCGACATCTGAATCCAAAAACACAAAAACCCTAGAAACAAAAGAGCAAGCCTAAAGGTTCTTCTACTTGCTCCAGTGGTCGGATCTCTGTGACTTTGTTTTTTTTTCCAAGCACATTGAATAGAGCTTAACCAAAGATTGGTCTTCTTTTGATAGGATGCAAGAATACACTTGTACATATGCTGAGGTGGCAATAACGAGAAGGCTCCCATAAGTAGAACCGAAAATATTTGAAGAAGTCGCCGAAGTTTCTTTGTTCCCACAAGTTAATGTATAAGAGAACGAGTCTTAAGCAACGTTCTCCATCGTTCAATGCGGCATGAGTATTGAGGGATACAAGAAAACATGTTGGCAAGTGCGGAGGTGACAATAAGAAAAACAAATATAAGACCATGTAGAATGGTTATATTTTTCAACACTTTATTTTAACATTTCAGATCATTTTTTTCTTTTTCTATATATTAATTTCAACACCCTATCCAAACATTTTCATTTCTTGTTTTTTTAGATAAAATGTAAATATTATTTACAATGATAATTAGTAAAATCAAACTATAATAACAATAATTTTAATATATTTTCAGAAAATAGATACCAACACTAGTAAAACACAAGTTTTGCTACGACGAGTTTTCCCGTAATTTCCTAGTAAAGGGGCTTTTACTAGAAAATTACGAGGAAAAGTGTCTTGTCGTAACACGTTCATCGTAAATCCTTTTTCCTCGTAATTTCCTAATAAAATTACGAGGAAACTTTTTCTCGTAAAAGCGTGGATACTCATTTCCTCGTAAAGTCCTCGTGCAGCTTTCCTCATAAAGGCCTCGAAAATAAGTCCTCGTAAAATCGTGGTAAAACATTTCCTCGTAAGAGAGTCATAATGCTTTACTAGGTATTTACTTCGAAATGTTTTTTCCATTAAAAATAATAGATAAAATAAATAGAAATAATATATTTTTAAAAAATTAAAATCCAAATTATAAAAAAAAAGAAATAACTAAATAATTTATAAATAACTAAATATTTAAGTTTTAAATTCATAATATATACAATTAAAAAGAAAAAAAAAACTAAACAACGGATGGTGCTCGTTAAACTGGCGAACGAAGTCGTCATCCCAGCTCGCCAACTCCTCCTCGTCCATGTTGGTCGTCGGTTGTGACTGTGGCGGTGGATGTTGTTGGGTTGGAAGCCCTCCGTTTTCCCGTCTGACACGCAACATCTCCGCCAATTGCAGGTTTCCAACCGCCAAAACGTCCAAGATATCGGAGAGAGAACTCACGTGAGCTTGCGTCGCATGCAACTCTGAGCGCAGCTGAGTACTGACATCGTGCTGTTCATGAGCATACGACGATGTCGCTGTGGGGACATCGTTAACGGAACCAATCCCGATGATACGTCCCTTTTTCCTAGGGGCGACCTGTAAATAAAAAGATTAATAACGTTAAAATTAAATTAAATAAGTAATAAAAATTAATAAGAAAACAAATTATTTACCTCCTCGTAAATCTTATCCACTTCAGGAGTGGATAATATGACGGGTCTCCCAGGCTGCTGAGTCAGCTGGGTCTGGCGGTGGTCAACCCGAGCAACAACCTTGTTGTAGATCCGCTCGGATTTAAGATCTACAAAATGCTCAGCCTTGTTCCGGTGGGTCCTCTTGAAAAGGTCTTCCAGAGATGGAAGAACTCATGTCTCTTTAGCCTACAAATAATTTTTAAAATTATATATTAATCAGGAATATACAAATAGATTAAAAAAATATTAATTAGTTATTAAAATATTAATTTACCATGTCTAGACGGATTCCCGCGTGAGGTTTTCGACCCCTGGTGTGAAGCATCTTCGTTTTGCCATGCTCGTCTCTTGTCATGCGGTTCTCGGAGTTGGTGTGGAAGGTTCTGATCAAGTCCGGAAATCCCCAATATCTGATGAGGTCATCCCACACCGCAAATGTGAGGCAATCGAGTTTCCCCTCCTCGTAACCATCCACCTGAAAAAAAAATATTTGAAAATTATTTGAAGTCAATGATATAAACTATATAAAAATTTATAAATCTACCTGAAAATCGCCCTTCCAGTTGTAGACCATATCGAGCAATCGCGCTTTTGCCTTCGCCTCAAACTCATTTTTCACCCGCTGGTGAATCCCTATGGACCAACAATACTTTTGATGTAACCAGAAAATTTTAGATTAATTAGTCCAATAATATTAAAATTTTTAAATAATTAAAAAATGAATTAATTTTATTAATGACTTACGGCGAACGATTTGAACCACATCTTTTTGGTGTGGCTAGCCGTCTTTTTCCAGTTTGGAGCTGGATCAGGAAAGTATCCCTTGATACAATCGGTCACCCTCTGAGCGACACACCCGTCAACATTAAACCTGAACCAAAAACAAAATTAAAATATTAATTAATTTTTTTAATTTTTTAATTAATTAAGAAATAAATTTAAAAAAAATTTTAAAAAATGAAACATACCAAAATATGTTGTGGCCGTCCCGTCGGAGACGATCTAACTCAGGTAACCCTTCTCTGCCTGGCGCTGCCATAATATCCTCGACAGTGTACACCGCAAATGGAGCGTTTGGCGGCACCTACAAATCGGGATGAACCTCGGCGGCCGGTGGAGGAGGAGGAGGAGGTGGTGGAGGAGGAGGAGGAGGTGGTGGATCAAACCGGAGAACCGGAGAAACTCTCTGAGAAAACTGAGACTTCGGAACAGCGTCATCCAGAATCGAAGAACCGGGAGCCGAAGAAGATGATGCGCATGTATGAGGACCAGGCTGACGACCAAATAAATCTCCGTAATGACTCCCGTCAGGAGGCGGCCTCGTCTTCTTAGCGTTAAGCTTGCTCTGTCTAGGCATCTAAATTTTAAAAATAAAAAGAAAACATAAATATACTAGTATCATTTAATCACCTAATCTAAATTCTCTAAACTAACCACCTAATCTAAATTTCCTAAACTAACCACCTAATCTAAATTCCCTAATCTAATCACTTAACTAGGAATTAGAGAGTACCTTAAGAGGATTTTGAGAGAAGATTGCTACAAATGAGAGAAATCGGATGGCTCGAGTTTATATAAGGAATTTGTTTCCTCGTAAGGCCCTCATAATTTTTCGAGGAAATAGTGAGTCCCACGTTTTGCATTTTGAGGACTTTACGAGGAAACAGCGAGTCCCGCGTTTAGGTTTCCTCGTAAATTCCTAGTAACATGCTTACGTGGACTTTACGAGGAAACAGCCTACGTGGACTTTATGAGGAAATCGCGAGTCCCGCATTTTCTGTTACTAGGGTTTTACGAGGAAAGGGTTTGTAAATCCCTAAACTCCAAACCCCAAACACCAAACCACAACTTCCTTAACTTATAACCTTTTCTACAACCAAACTCCAAACCTCTTCTACACCAAAACCCCAAATTCATTTTTTTGATTCAATTTTTTGATTAAACAAACTTAAAACATACATAATTCAAAGTCATGTTTTTGATTAAAGAAACTTATAAAACATACATAATTCATTCGGATACATTCTTGGAATCTGTATAAACATCATCATTTTCGTAAAACTCGTCCTCGACACCTTCATGCGTTGAGTGATCAGGAACATCTTCGTAGTCACGATTATGAGGATCAGTGAGTAGGATGTCATCAATTTCTGCTTCAGGTTCCTCGATTTCATTGGTGTTTTCTTCTTGTAATGGTGGTTCTTTTCCAGCGACTATTCGTCCTCGAGGTGTAACTTTGATAAAAACTAACCAGTTTATTCCCGAGGTAGTTATCCGAGGGTATGGAATGAAGAAAACTTGATCTGCTTGGGAAGCTAATATGAAAGGCTCAAATTTTTTGTACCTGCAAAAATAAAGACAACATAGAAATTAGTACTCAGAACATGTATCTCAAAAAAAGAATTTGTTGTACCTTCATCCACCATTGACATCAACTACACCGTTCTTGTTAATCCGAACACCTCTGTTAACGACGGGGTCGTACCACTCACACTTGAAGATAACGCATCTCTGGTGGCAGGTTGTACGGTGTAAGACTGGCCACAATGAATATTGTCTCCCTGCCATTCCAAATGGACGAAATCCATCAATGCATAATCCAAGATACACATTCCGGCTATTGCTAGCGAAATGTGGATGTACATTGTTAAAATGTTTCCAAGCTCTTGCATCTGATGGATGAGTCATCTCTCTGTCCGTCTGAGTATTCTAGGCATGCCATCTCATCCCTCCAGCAGTCTCCTCAGATTGGTACAATCTTTTCAATCTGTCTGTGATTGGTAGGTACCACATCCTTTGGTATGGTACCCTATTACGCCCTCGACCTTGCGGTTTGAATCGTGGCTTCTTACAAAATCGAAATTCTTCTAACTTCTCATCATCTCCCCAGTAAATCATGCAGTTGTTGATACAAACGTCTATCATCTCCGAGGGCAACCCAAGACTATATACCAATTTCTGAATCTCAAAATAAGATTCAGCAGACATATTGTCTTCTGGAAAATACTCTTTAAACAAGTCTGCCCATGCATTCATACTATTTTAAGGTAGATTGTGATCGGTTTTAAGACTCATCATTATAGCAGCCAACGACAATTTAGACAGACCTTCTCTACAACCACTGTAAATTGGCTCATTCGCAGCTTCTAACATTTAATAAAACTTTTTTGCATCTAAGTTAGGTTCTTCAACTTCATTATTATTATGAGTTACAAATGCATCACCTACCATATCATGAACCCTATCACAATCTACCATTTGTTCCTCATTGTGATGATGATAGCTATTTTCATTACGCAAATGATCAACCAGTTCAACATGAAAATTTGCTATTACTATTGCTAGCTTCATTCCTACAACTATCATCTTCTCCATGTTGATACCAAATGTAATAATATGGCATGAAACCTCTATTTATTAAATGGTTCCAAACATTTTCACGAGGGCCAAATTTTGTATTGCAGCATTTCCGACAAGGACAGAACATCTTACC